ATATATATATTTTCACAGTAGTTATGTTGGGGATTAAGAACATGAGAGAGAAACTGTGATCTCACATTTGAAGCGAACACTGAAATGTGTGTTCTCCTGATGATACTGTCACTTTATTTTTCTGACGCCTTTTTGGATTCTCATGCAGGTTCCTATGTATGTGGGGTATGCGGGAAGAAGTACAAGTATTATAACTGCTTTCAGACACACGTCAGGGCGCACAGAGGTAAGACACTTCGTTATTTCTACACATGTTATTGTCTTTATGAAAGAGCCAAATGATAAGTGACCGCTCGCTGCGTTTTCCCTCTCTTGACAGTGTGGTCCAAAAATCACTCACTTCCTCTAAACGAGTCAGGCACGTCCTGTTTAGGCTAGGGATCGGTTCATTTATTTCATCTTTTCGGCCTTTTTGAATTGTTGAATGTGAGATAGCAATTTTAGCACATCCATCTTTTCACATATTTCTGTAGGACTGACTACTCCCCATCCTGTTTCTACCCTCTATAGAGTCGGATAACATGGTTGCAGATGGTCTACCCCAGACACCCAACAGTGAGTACACCTTTTCACACTCATCCAGTGAACACACCCAAGTTAATAACGCATGCCAGCACAAGCTGTTTATTTCATACCTGGCTCATTTAACAGACATGATGTTGTTTTAACTAGATATCTTTGAAGATGTTCATAAAGCTGACTAAAAACAATCCACAACAACTTATATCTGCTACCGTTTGTCTCTCTGTGACTTTAGCAGGCTAAAAGCCATAATATGTCCCCCCCCCCCCCCCATTGTCCCCCTCCCTCTCTCCCATCAGTCTTGTCTCCTCACTGTAGCCGCCTTCCCATAGGTGACATCCTAATACCAGGTACCTATAAGGCAACATCCAACGTTACCTCAACATTTCTCTCATGTTTTGGATACAATGTTCTGATTATCACAATGATACTTTGTCTGACAAAATCAGTTCCTCTAATTTAAGTGAAGTAAACCCGAAACTGCATATGAAATGTAACGCCGGCCTGCACGTTTGGGGATGTTGCTCTTTTAATTGCATTGTGTATACATCAGCTTCCAGGGCCTGTGTTTATCAGACATCTTAAAAATCACTCCCAGGAATCACAGTGAAAGTTTGATTAGGACTAAAAATACTCCTACCTCAGAGTAGTACTTGAGAGTTATTTATAAAGCTTCCTACACTCACTCTGCGCAATCATTATGTGAATATGCACATCGCTTATAGGCAGCACTATCGGTATGGCAGGGGGAAAAGAAAGAGCAATCATCTTGATGCAGACTGAACAACTGACTTTTTTTTTAGCTCTATGAGGAACACAAACACGGTGCAACCAAAAGGTCTGTGACGGCGTTAAGAAGTAGGCCAGAGAAGCTGCGTGGCCAAGAAACAAAACAACCTGATAGATTAAATTCTTCAGAGAATGGAGCGTGCTGTAAAGAATCTTTGGTTGACGCCACATATTTAGATTTTGTACTTGAAAATGACTGGTGCGCCAATTTAGAAGAGCATTTTAAATAGAAGTTGCTTCTATGAGCAGTGCACGACTGTGGCAACAAGTACAGATCAAACAAGGGGCTAAGTGTAAATCAGTTTTTATAGATAACTGAATATATTCTCCATGTTAATGACCAAAATATGTAAACCGCTCAGGTTTAGGGCAGGCAGCACAGTTCCGATACGGCACTACTGTAACCTTGACTTTAAGCCTGCTTAACACAGGACTTGTTCTTAATGATTGGTTCCTATAGCGCCTTACTCTGCATTTTAAAAAACCGACGGAGGAAAATGATGACTGATAGTCAGCCTGGATTTTTCCAGTTTGTTTGACTTGTAAAGTATCCCTCTGTTGAAGGAGTGTGGGCACAGGATCATGTTGAAAAGCGGGAAACAACACAGGCTGTAGTGTTGTGGAGTTGAAGAGAGTATTTTGGGAGCTCAGCTTGAACAAACTTTCTGTAGTTCTGACCAAGTGGGCGTTTGGATGAAAAACAGCCCTGCATTTAAAAAAACAGGGATTGGTGGGGTATTGCATCAGATAACAGTGATCCAGAAAGTCTAGTTTGACTCATGAATCATGAATCTACTAAAATAACGAGACACCAAAAGAGTGATCAGAAGATTATAATACAAGATTTTACAAGTCGTAAGGGAAAGTAGTCTGTTTGCTTCAGAGAGTGGGCTTGTCTCCACCTGTCCTTGGCTCCTTTAGTGTTTTTAGTGTGTCTGTGTTTAAGCCAGTACCCAGAAACAAGTGTAACCTTTTAGGATCATGCACCGGTTAACCAATTATCCATGTTGTTACCGTGTTATCGATTTAATCAGAATGTGTCCTCACTCATGCTTTGGAGCAATTATGATATTTGAGCTTTAATTAAATTGACAAATGCCAGGAACCCACTAATTTGTGAAAAACAGTTTTAATCACACCAATTTATATTTATAGAATATGCATCGTATTGGAGAGCCTTGAGGTGTTATGAATGCAATTACAGTTTGGCATCCCAATAATCACCTTTTTCTAGCTGTGTTTCCTTGTTGCCAATTCAGGGGAAATGAAATAAATCCGGTTGTCGTAAATCAACT